CTACAATCAAGTTTCATAATAAATTTACCTGTCTTGGAGATGGGTAGACAACGTAGTGGTTTCCGTCATCGGCAGCTTGACGGCAGATGGTTCCATTAAAGTTGGTCTTGAGGGTTGGAGCACTTGGAGCCATCATAACCTCATGAGCAGATCCGAAAGCCTTCTGGACGCGGGATCCCAAGGTGTTGGTGAACTTGATGCTGGAGACGTCCTTTCCAAGCTCGGCACGAAGATCGTTGATGATCTTGACGTACTTGTCTGGGCATGGCTGAAAATTAACGGTCAAATGATTGTAAATCCCTTTGAGTATAATGCCGTTCTATTAGAGGTTTTACGGTATACCAATTTCTCTAAGAATTTGGTTTTTTTCCGAGAAACAATAAATCTTGATGAATGGAAAAATATATAATTTTGATTAGGCCCTCAATGTTTGCTAATATTGGGTTGTTACAGTTTTCAAGCCAATATATTTCAATGAAAAACTGTCCCTGTTCTATTTTTCCAATAATTTATACTTGCTGAGTTTTCATTTTTCATCATTCAACAAAACACAACATTCTAGTCTAGTTTTGGTTTTGAATTCCGCTCAATTTTCTTCTCCATGCCCTACGGTCGACGAGGTCGAGACGTGTGCAAGAAGTTTTCTGTGCAAACAAATTAACTAGTAGTCGGATGTTGATACATCCTCTCTTTCCTTCTCCTTCTCCTTTAAAGTGAATAAACATAATAGGGAAACGAACGCAGCAGCAACATCTCAAGTGTCATCTATCCGCCCTCTCATTTCTTGTGGTCACTTTTGTAAGAAACCGAGTATTTGAGGTACCTTCTAAAACGTGAAAGTGTCAACTTCCGTTTATCCCTTTTTGGCTTATTCACCTTTTTGCTTTTATCTGGATGTTGCTAAACAAACAAGTTTGAAAAATAGATGCTAGGAATGGGAGGAAAAAACGACTTGACTGTTTAATGAGCCGTGAGATGGGCACTAAATCATTAGAACAGACCGGCTTAACACATTTTCTTAGTAATTGTTGACCCTTTTTGAAACATCCAAAATGGTTCAAATCGGATTTAGTTTTTTCTTAGTTCTGGACCCCCATAAAACTTTCAGTTGTTATTCTTGGTCGTTTACAATCCATTAATCATGATATGTAGAACAGAAGTTTTATTTTTGGTTGACTGAGTTTGAAAGTTCATAAACTTTCGGGAATGCGGATGCATGGTGAAGATGCAAGACTTACTTCCATAAATCATTGAAGAGGAAACCGTAAATGACAAATGTTTGCATCAATTACTTTAAAATTTCGGTTTCCTTATTCTTCTTCCGGCTAATTGCATGGATTTACAAACATAATCCATCCTTATCCACCGTTTCATACATTTCCGTAGCAGACTGACCTTTTGTTGTAGAACTGTACTAGCTTTTTCGATTTTCTTCGCTTTTTCTCTTTTTCTAACTAACCATCGACCACCAGACAGTCCATCATCACTCTTCCTGACCGTTAACATCCAACCCCATCTATCATCCAGAAACGGCGATTTTCGAAAACGAAACGCCAAGACGATTCACACTGATAAATCTCCACATTGTTGCTTGTTTTATCACTTTAAAGAAGTGGGTGGATATGTGAAGCAGGGCACTTATTCTGTGTGGTGGTAGGGGCAGTGAGTAGGAATCGAAAAAGAAAAAGGTGGGATTCGTCAAAAAAGACAAGAAAATCCAGTCTTGATGTCGAGAAAAGCCAAGGAAGATAGGCGAATCAAAGAGAGATGAAGGAATCTCGAAAAAGTTTCAAAAGAAACTCACTTCTTCAGTCATCCATATCAGTCCCCCTTTCTTCTGATCTTCTTCTCGAAAAAGGCTTTCGCGCAAAAAGAACACGTCCTATTGTCTCTCTTCTTCGATCTCGTGTAGGTTTTTAGGATTTGCCATCTCATATCCACCTGGATATTAATTTCTAATTTCATTAAATTGGCGTCACTTCTTTGAATGGCATAGCTAATGTCCACAGGTCTCTTTTCCTCAGACGACTACATAATTGAGTGTTCATGGGAGAGTAGAAAATCTTCTGAATTTCGATGTTTTTATTGTACCAATTACTTTGAAAAAATGTGTGTTCAATATCGCAACTAATATTGTTTGGTTAACCCATTTAAAATTGAAAAAAACATTATTCAAACATTTAGTAAATTTCAATGATCTGTTTTCAGAATAATAAAAAAACGATACGTTTCTCGAAACTTCTATAAAACTATAAAACTTTTTTTCTCAGAATTTTTTCTCAATTTCAATTTTTACTAGGAATGTATTAGATGACTCCAGTTTTATAGATATCTCAAGTTTAGTCATGATTTCATTAGAAAAAAGTGATCACATACGATCTAATCAATTGAACTAAAATTCTCGCAGTTCCCCGAACTTTTTTCACTCATGGCTATCAAATGAAAACCGCTTTCAGATGAGTGTGAAATGAATAAATTATAGATTCTACCCTTTTGCTTGAAACAATCCCCTGCTAATGGCTTGTGATGTGTTCTAGGCAGCATCTCCCAATTTCGACATTTCACGCTTTTAGAAAAACCGTGAAGTTTTGTAAACCAAGATATTTTCATACTCGGTTACTGTAGATGCTCATGAAAAATATATTTATTGAACATTAGCTCCGAAGATTTTAAGTTTAACAACTTCCAAAAAATGACCAATCCTCACCCATCGAGCTATTTCTTTCCCTTTCTCAACAGTTTTTTTGCAAGCCTCCCGGCATATTCCTTTTATTGTTGTCCACAACTATCTAGCCTCCCACACATTCACAATTCGAACATTGAGGTTAGCAAGTCATACTAGCATGTAGCTTTCTTCATAAAACCGTGTCTAAGAATGGAAAAAAAAAAAAACCAATTGTCGCTTTCTGCTGCTGGTGAGGTGTAGACAAAAAAACGGGACGCAATCCAGTCCATTCTCGTGTATCTTCATCATCTCAATGTTTTTTTTCTGTTGTCATGGACTGTCTGTTCCTTGGCTTCTCATACTCCCACATCTCCATTTCATCATGCTTCCCCTTAGATACCTCCTCTATTAACTTGTGCGATTCACTCTCGGGAAAGGCATTCGATGACAACTTTCGATCCTTGTCTTTCGATTAATTTCTTCGCTACGCCGTTCCCCTCCCAGTGTCTCCATTCGTTTTACTTTTCCTCCCACTCATTTGGCTACTTGCGCTAAAACCCGAGTCTAATATCCAAGAATGGAACCCGATTCTCGAGAAACTGTTGTTTCTTCGTCCGCCCGATCCTAGTCTTTGCACTTATCCAATAATGTAATCATCGAATTAGATGTTCCCTTCATGGCCGTTCGTTTACATAACAGGACAAATGGGGGGCGGAGACCAGTTGCGGTTATTTCCTGCTTGTTGTTTTGGTTTCAAATCCTGATTTGAAACAGTTAGTCAGAAACTAGTAAGGGTTGACTTTTACTTGAAATCAATCATCTTAAGCAATCTCACTGTATTTTTATCCCTTCTTTTTTCCAAGTCCATCCGTCTCGTATTCTTGATAAATAGCCACTAATTATCCATAAATCACGTATCTCATTCGAAACTAGGTTTCACCCACTTTTCTTATCATATACATTCACAGGTCATGATCAAGATATCTAAACTTTTTTTGTGTTTATCATTTGGAGTTTGTTTCTAGGACTGTAGGTCACTGATTGAAGATATCGTATTTTTTTTCCATGATTCTTATTTCATAGTCTCCCGAGTGTACCATAAGCTACCGTGAAACATGTTAAAAGGCCCGGTTTCTCTATTGGCCCAAGATACATCGAGTATTTGTTCAACATTCATAAAAATCTGTCAATTTCAGTGAAATAAAGGAAGTTTCTGAGCAAAAGGAAGTTTTTAGCAAATTTTTGTGATTTTGTGGGAATTCCGTAAGAACCTTAAATAGAAGGGTCCTCACGCTGTCAACTTTAAGCTTATATATCTCGTTTCCTGTCGAAGATATCATAAAAGTGTCAACTGATGAAATGTATGTGATATTATAATAAACATTTGATCAGTTGACAGCTTTTTTATATTTCAGACAGGAACCGAAATAAATTGGCCTACATCATAAGTTACGGGCCCCATCTGGTGCAGCTTTTACAATATTTTGACTGAAAACGTGCTTTTGACTGAAAACAATTGCAAGGGTCCTTCTATTTTACCAAGCCCTTCTCAGAGAGCTTTTCTATCAGAAGGGCCCTTCTAATACAGGTTTTACAGTATTTTCAAGTATTTAGATGTATGTGAAAAATGAATACGCTTTTTCCTGATCGTTATTCATCACATATTTTCCCCCGTGGCACCTCCTCTTTCTTCTCACTTCACCCCAGGAAGTCGTTTCGGGAAGCAAGAAATAAGTGGCTTAGAAATCTCACGGATCGTTCTCACCCTTTTTTCTTTTCTCCTACTACCATATCCCTTCTTAGCCATTGAATTCCGACCTCGTATCACACTAAGACCATTTTATTCGCCTTTTGTCTCCCTCTACTTCATCTTCCTCCCCCACTTTTTATTCTTGTTACCCCCCTTTGGCGACTTTTGACGCCTTCGAGAAAATTGTTGCGCATATTTTCCATTCCACTTCATTCGTTTTGTTCTTCTGTTCTTCACACCATTCTCCTGACCATTCAATGACCCTCTTCTTCATTTTTCCTTTTTTACAGACTCCCCTCAAGTAAAGATTTCTTCCAATACAGTATTCCCATGATTTCAACCTTTACAACAGGCATAGTTTGCCTGGCGTTGGTGTTAATCCAACATGTATACGGTATGTCTGAAATATTGAGAAACAAGAATTTCAATGATATATTTTACAGGAGACTGTTCGCCAGAATTTTTTGCCAGGAGCATACGATATGATCAAGCTGTCGAGATAGATTTCTATTATACGGGGTGAGTACGTGAAAAATATGACGGAAACATGAGAAATGGATAATATCGGAAAACTTGATTTTTCCCTGTTATCGAGTCTTCTCAATCTCTTTCTTTTCAACTTGAACCACCTGTTATTTTCTTTCAGGATCAATCTGGCGTCGGTTAAAGAATGCGCGACATTCTGTTCGCAACGAGAATTTTGTCGAAGTGCCGTGTACAATAGTAGGACGAAAACATGTGGTATCTCATACGAGTATACGGTAGCATGTGCGTCCAGAACTCAGAGATACAAGGAGTTCAAACTGGAAGAGGGACAGGGAACTGACTTGGTGCAAATCGCATGTGTCGATGATTGTAGAAGTCGGGAAGGAAAGAATGCTGATAAGAAGGAGAAGAAAGTTCCGGTAAGAGTTGTGGGAATAAGAAATGTAAACAGTGGGAATAAGAAATGTAAAACCGTCAAAAAGAACTTCGAAAATCTTCAGTTTGTCCTTTCATATCACATTTAGGAATATCGCTTGACCTAAAAAAGTTTCAAGGATTTTTTCACACTTTTTGAGTTGTTTCAGTTCAAAATAGAGTCTCTAATAGAAGTCTCTCATGTTTGAGTTAAATTATTTGACAAGGGAACCTTTTAAGTGGAGGTAAGAGTCAGCAGAAACAACCTACACAGATCGAAAAAGCATGGTCGAAAACCTATAAATCCGTTTTCAAAGTCTGCTTACGAGGCCTTTGAAATGCTGAAATTGCAGCCTCAGTGCCAAAAATCCCTTTTCAGTGCAAAATCGCAATTTTCAAACTTGATTTTTTCCACTTCTAGGAGGTTATAAAACAAGTTTCAAGTCTTAAACCCTCCTAGGAGTGGAGAAAATCATTTAAAAAATTGCCTATGTAGGCTGTTTCTGCTGACTCCTACCTTCACTTAAAATGTTCCTTCGTCGATTCCAAGTTATCAAAACATTTTAACCATCAAAACATTTTTACCATACTTGTAATCCGGGCCTCAGCAGGCCTGGACGGGTTGGGTGACGGAAATCTGGGCACCCGGGGAATGGCCCTCTTATTTCAGTCTGATAGAGGTAACGATGTTCGTGAAACAATGGATTTATGGAATTCCGAACTATCACCACCGGAAATCGAAGCGACGGAGCAGGCGATTGCTCAGGCTGCTCGGCAGAAGAAGTCGTGTGTCGCGGCACCTACAGTATTCGAAGCACGCAGAAATCGAGTGTCTTCTGAGTGTGTTCATGTCGTTGAGCACGGAATTTCAATGGATCAGCTGAGAAAGAGGAAGACGCTGGGATATAGTTCCACTGATTTGTCTATTAAGGTTAGTTTTAGGCTTAAACTGACTGAAAAAAAACCCAAAATTTTGCTTTAAAAGTCTGAAAGTGCTCAATCCAGAAGCTAAATATAGCATGAAACCAGCACTGGCGGCTTAAAA